TTCCAATTCAATCAGAGAATTTTTCAAACTTTGTAAAGACATGACAGAGCTTAGAGTTTTGTTGTTGTTGTTGTTTTTTAACTTTGTTCACATGTAATACCTCTGTCTTCTGCTCCTTCCTTTCTGTGATTGCATCAAACAGCTGGGAGGAGGAGGAGAGCCAAATTCCAGCGCACTCATCCACTCTCAAATCTCCTCCCCAGTTAAACATTTGTTTTCCCCAGCAAATCAACCAAAGTGCTTTTCAGTTTTGAATAGTTCTCTGGTGACTTGGGGAGGCCCTAGTATTATTTGGAGAGCCTTCCTCAGTGCCATGTGCTAAAGAGACTTAATGCAGCACAGTACTTTAACACACTAGGAATTAACATTCTTCCATGAGGATTCGGGCCCACCATAGCTAGTGGGCCTGGAGATTACATTCACCCCAACAAATATGTGTTGATACAATTCTACATATAGAGACCATTTTACGAAATCCTAATAGGTTACTGCTTGCTTGTCTTGTGCTTGCTCCAACACAAAGACATTAATAAAAAAAAGAAAAAAAGATAATCAAATTTCCCACCTCAGAGGCATAGGCTGGTCCAAATAGAACTCCTAACAGGGATAGAGAACCTGAGGTTCACTGGAAGTCATCTACCCTCACATTTTTCAGTAAGAAACCAAATTGTCATGGGTGAAAATTCCTCTGCATCCCTATAACACAGAGGACACACAGAATTTCTGCAGGAATCTCTGCAGCACAGAGTGCATTCCAACTGGAGGTCTAGATAAACCTTTTGATTGGGTCCCTGCAGCACATGGGTACTAGAAATGTCCACAGTAAACCCCTATAACATCTACAGTAATCTGAACGGAGGTCCAGACTCACCCCTCACTAGAAAAATGGCTAGCTTAAAAAAAGAAATCAAAATCAGATAAGTACCCAAGAGTTGTGGGGCTCCCAAAAAGGGATTAAGCCCTTGGAGGTGATTACCCAAGGCTTTTAGGCCATCAGACAAACCTTATCCTATGGACCCACAGTCCATAAGGATCTTGGATTAGCTGTCCACTCTCATCTCTCGATAAGGCAAGCAGTATAAATCTGTTCAAAAGTAAAATAAAAAAAATCACATGATTGAGCTCCTACATTGTGCTCTAGATGAATTACTAGGCACCAGTATTCTAAGAATGTAACATCTAAAATACTCATATCAGCTTCTGTACTTGTAATGGATACATAAATACAGTGAACATCAGTACATATGCATTCAACAGTGCAAAAGTTTTCTCAAAAGGTAAAGGACTCAGAGTATAGACTGGGGCATTTTTAGATACAACCAATGTGGGAACTTGTTTTGCTTGATTTTGCATATTTGTTATAAGAATTTAGTTTTTCTTTCTTTTCTTTTAATAGGGGGAAAGTGGGAAGTGAAAAGGAGTTAGTGATAAGGTTATCAAAAAGAAAAAGAAAAGTAGAAAAAGGGTCATTGAAGCATTGAGGGGACTTTTTCCCTCCTCAACCCTCAACCCTCCCCATAGAAGGGAACAGAGGGAAGCCCAGAAAGAAACACAGACAAGTAGGACAGCTTTGAAAGTTATGTTTTGAATTTATTACAAAATTAAAAGGAAAAGCAAACTATTCACAAAAGATAAGCAGTTTTTGCTTACAACCTTTTTTTTCTGATCTACTTTGTATATGGAAATACTCATTGTATTTGGTGTTTTTAAGTTCAGAATATATTTTTTTAATTTTAAGTTACCTCGGAAAAACTAGTCTGACTGGTAAAGGAAACACTAGAAAATTGAATGTGCAATTGAAATCTCAAACAAAAGAAGAAAAAACTAGTCTTTTTTCTCCCATGAATCCCTGCAATACTAGGACACCCAAGAAAGAGAATCCTGAGTGGAGAATCTCTCCTGTGAGTCCCTGCACATGCACAGAGCACCTAAATATATCCAAGCAAAGATCACACAGTATGTGTCTATATGTCTGCAAAGATAACATGGCTTCCTGGACTCAGAACCCAGAGGCCTGGGTCCAACCCCAAGTAATTTCATCTCTCTGACCCCAGCTTTTTTCATCAGTAGTAGAGGAATGATAATTCTAACTTCCTCATAGTGTCATGAGAAAAGTGATTTGGAAACCTTAAATCACTATAGAAATATGTGAGTATCACTTGGGTTTTTTGGCTCTTTCATCTCCCCCACTAAGCTCCTCAAGGGCAGAGACTTTGTCATCTTCTAACCAAGCTACCAACTGAAACACCAGGGCATCCTGGGGGAGAGACAAGAGACGGAATGTGCCAAGAGAGTCCAATCACCACCACCACCTTGACTGCCATCTCCCCTCTGACCCTAGTAGGGACACCCAAGGACCCAAAACCCAAGAGCTTTGGGAACCATGGTGCCCCTTCAGCCTACTAGACCCACTTCCAGCCCTTCCTTCATGGCCATTATTAGGGGAGAAATCTTTGTGGAGAAGTAGTCTACCTTCATCACCACCACCACCATCTGCTGCCCAATTTCAACATATTGGCAGATAGGCACAGATAGGAGTAGTGGCAGGCCCCTTCCTTCATTCCTGCTTCCAGTCCAGCCCTCACAGCTGTCACCTGAGGAAGCATCTCCTGGGAAGAAGGGTTTAGCCATCCCCACCAACTGTCAACCACTTGTCACATGTGGAGCAATCAAGCCAGGCTAGCTGAAGCAACAAGGCATGCTGAGGCAGAAACAGGAGATAGAACATGCCAGGCCAGTCAAACCCCTACTACCACTTGACCACCATCTCCCCTCAAACCCTGACAGAGCCAGCTCAGGACCCTGAACTCAAGAGCCTTGGGAATCAAAGTGCTTCCAGCCCAGTGCCTCAGCCATTGTCCAGGAAACCAACCCCTGTATTTTGTTGGGTAGCCTGGCAGCTGCTCATGGCTCCTCGAGACTTCTTGCCACCAAAGCCCTGGGCAATGTCAACATCCGAATGTCCAACATCAGAAGCTGATAGGATGTTTTCAGTGGAAATAATATTAAAGAAGGAAGCATCAGCATCTGCTTTGCCCCTGTATCCTAAGGACCATGGGACTTGTCCATCTGATTTACTGCTGAAACCGTCCATATGTATTGTCTCCTCCATTAAAATGTGAGCAGGGCCTGTCTTACTCTTCTCCTTGTACCCCGAACACTTAGAACAGTGCTTTGCCCATAGTAAATGCTTAATATATGTTTCATTCTTTCATTCATGTTCTACTTAACTCCTCATGTCACCTTTTACTGTAAAAGTAAGAATAGAGGCAGAAAGTGTCCTATGAATGTGATTGATCTGTTATAACAGCTTTGTTTTACTGAGACACACTCCTAAAGAAGAGACAGCGGAGGATCATTCCTCAGGATACTGCACAGACATTGTTCTTGGTAAGCAGTTCATCCATACAACAGTATGGTTTCAGCCCTGGAAGCATTCACCAGGAAACTTTTCCTCTGCTACAATAAAAACTCGAGTCTCAGCCTAAGCCTGTGAATATCTCATCTGGTTACAACTGGCTCAAGTCTGGGGATCCATGAGGAGTTTCTAACTCCAGAGAAAGATGTTATACTCCAGGTCTCCAAGGCAAAGCCTAATGAAGACAAGGCCAGACAGGAGCAATTTGGAGAGTGACAGACCAACAACAGATGCTATTAAGAGGTCAAAAAAGAAAAATGAAAGATCACATTGAACTAGATATCAACATGGAGGTCAAGGCAAAAAATCAAGCATTTCTATGACCTCTGTCACAGCCTGACTAGACTGGATCCTTTGTTATGGAACCTTTTACTTCTAGGTCGCTGATTTGAGTCCAGCCTCAATGGCATTTATAGTCATAGAAATTCATTACCATTTCACTTCTATTCATTGATTTGTATAAGATAGGTTGCTGGAGGATCCCATTGTTTTGGTGGGCAGCCTCGGAAATCTCCTGAGACATGAGAGCTTGAGAGACAGTAGACCTGAAAAGGGGAGATTTTCTCCCTGCCTTTCTAAGGGAAGCAAAGGATCTGCAGTTCTGAGAATATTTAGGAATACTAGGAAGTAGCCAGCCTCAAAGTTGCTATATGTTGATTGGCCATTTAGGAGATTGGGCTAAGAGCTAGGATGGTAGGAAGACAGTATTATGGAATCAGAAACTGAGATGTGGGCAAGGATCTTGTACATTTAAGTGAGCTGGGGGAATCGAGTAGAGGTGTTAGGAGGGAGAGTAGTTGCAGTGGTTGAACATTTGGGATTGGAAAGAGGGTGTGAGAATGTGTGCAAAGGTCAGGGGTAATGTGTTCGCAACATGGCGTGAGAGCAAAGGGACTCAAGAAAGAGTGTGGCAGTAAGAGCAACCATGATCCATTGTGGACGTGGTCTGAAAGCAAATTGGTTGAGGCTATATACAGGTACAGGGATGAGATCTAGTTGCTGACACACACCCACACACAGGAGTACACACACACATATTGTACCAGTCTGGAGTGGACTGTGATGAAAGTTTGTAACTGCAGATTTTATTCAGTCCATTATGTCTTGGGCTTCTTAGCTGTTCCTGGTTTTTGTTTCAGAAAATGAGCTCCCGAGGAGGGAGTGGGTAGGATAAGGTGACCTAGGGTGTTGGGTGATATGGTATCACCCAATAGGTGGGTAGAAGAGCTGAGTCTGCAAGAATCTAAGCTATGATGAACTTAAACCCTGGGTGATGTGAATAGTATACATACTCAGAACCCCGCTAGCCGACCTTCTCCCTAACATCCTAGCGAGCCCAGTCAGGTGTGGATCCAACCCCATTGCCTTTTGATGTTTTGACTTGACTTGGTTGATGTTAGTTATGATATCCTTCCCCTCCCCCTTTTCTATAAAGGCATATGAATAGAAGGAAATTCAGGCCTCAATTTCTCCTTTTTAGCATTGTGTCAACATGGGTAATTAGCCTTGTGCATATCTGCATTAGTATCATTAGAATTGAAAACCCATTTTAATCTGGATTCTGTTCTCTTCTCAATGTCAGCCTGTTTCTGGACCAGTACAGAGCTAGCCTTGTTGATGCAATAAAGAGATTACTCCAGCCCAGTGTAAGTATGTTTCTATTTTCTCCTGAACACTGGCTTCAGAATAATTAGTCTGTGCACAATGATTGAGAGAGTAATGGAATGGCAGGATTAATGTCATGTAATACTTTAATACTTATTATGTCCAACTTCAATTGAGTCTTCTAATCTATCAGATTCTTTCCTAATCATAAACCAGGAAACTTCTTACACTTGGCCTTCTGATAAGGAACACAGAGGGTAGCAAAAGAAATGAAAGCGCTTCGAAGATAGGGTGAGATCATTTGTGATCAAAGCATTTGTGGAGTATGCGCTTTTGATAACAATGTCTTCATATTAAAGTAAAAGTGAAAGTTTTTACTTTGGTGTTTCTATCATGCATAATCCCTTCAATGGTAACCTTTGCTACTGTGTACTTATTTATTGTGAAAGAACATTATTTCTCCTCTCTTCATTTCTGTTTTTGTCAAAGGGAAAGAACTTTAGATGAATCTGTATATTAAAACTTCTTTTCTTTCCAAAGTAAGCCCCATATTTACATACTACAGACATTAGGTCACAATGAAGCCAGGCATGGCATCAAGCTTTGTGCACATTTTTTATATTTATACATCCATTTATGCCTGTGAGTAAATTACATAGTTTATATCTACCCTTATTTTGTTGGGCTGTTATGCTAAGCTAGGAGGTCCTATAACCGAGATGGAGAGTGAATGAATGTCTATTTAAAGCAGGGAAACATGTTTAAAGACCAAGTGTAAAAAAATTATATAAGTATGTGAGACACTTGCTGTGCCCTAAGAATTTAAAATAGGTTAATGATGTTAACCTAGTTCTGACCTACTCACTGTAAGACAGAAATTTACATTTCCATAGGAAATAAGATAGACTATCTGTGAAGAAAAGAATTTCCAAATTTTTGTTTTAAAAGTCTTTAAAGAAAAGAATTTACATTTCGGTCTGTAACCTCAGCCAGGCTAATACCTTTTAATCTTGTGTTTATATCTTTTTCTTGCTGAAAGCTCCTAAAGCATTTTGATAACCATCCTCTACTTTACACTGTTGTTGGGGTTTTTATTTTTTAATTTTGTTATCTCTGGGTAGCTCCCAAACATATAAATAGTTTCCTCTGAAGAGCTCCAAAAGCTTTGCAAGTGTTAATCAATTAAATTAGATTGGCCTTTGTAATCCCCACTGTGAGGTAGGTAGATACTCCTGAGGTGGGGAAGTGCCATACTCCAAGCTATTGAAGGCTGCCTCTGTGGTTGACTGTTCATTCTAACTTGGGGGTGGAGGAAGGAATATCTAACAACTTGGTCCTCCTGTCTAGCCTTGGGGGCTGGGAGCCACAGCTCAGAGGTAAACATTTAAAATGAGGTGATGTTAAAGAAGAATGGCATTGAGATTCTGGAATGGGGAGGTCTGTAAAAAAATGTCATCAATCAAAGCGTCATTTTCAGTATCCCCTGGATCTTGCATGGTACAAACAGTCCTCCCCTAATCACCAACATTCCTTCAAAGCAGATTTGTGGCAAACACAACTAATTCCATTTTGCTGAGGATTTGCCTGATCTACCTGGGATCACAGTAGAAGAGTACTAGGGTAAAGAGTAGGTCAAAGGGCAGATTAGACTGGGATCTTTAGCAGTTCTCCTGCCCCCTCCATTAAAAATTGAACCATTGGGCTATGCACCTATTCATACAGTAAACCCTTGATGAAGGAAGGCAGTCAACACCCCAAGGGCACAGAGCTGTGGGAAGAATGCAGCAAATGCCAGATTGTAGTTGCTTTTTATCCACAATATTAGAAAGATCCAAATCTCTGAATTGGGAGCTAAAATCAAATGAAATGACACCAGTTAAGACCTATTTATGGTAGAAAACACCCCCTCTTAGTGAGTGCATAGCACAGTGGACAGAGTATTGACTCCAAGCCAGGAAAATCTAGTTTCCAATTCCATGTCTAGCTGTGTGCCCTTGGGCATGTCATGACTTCTCTGGGCTCTAATTTCCTCATCAGTAAATTGGAAATAATAATACCTATAATACCTACCTTATCAGGCTAGGATTAAGCATAAATGAGGCAGAGTGTGTGGAGTGCTTTCCAAACAGTCAAGGGCTAAGTAAAATGTCAGTTGTTATTGTTGAGACTAACATTCATATGTCATGTTCCCTGGGACCAAGGCCTAGGTCTCGGGTATCTTTTTTGACATGTGGAGGTTCTAGTATTATTGAGAGAAGGAAGAAGAAGAAGGAGAAGGAGAAGCAGAAGCAGAAGGAGAAGAAGGAGTAAAAGAAGAAGATGATGATGAAGAAGAGGAGAAGGAGGAAGAAGATGAAGAGGAGGAGGAGGAGAAATAGTGAGAGACAGATCCAATGAGAGAGGGAGACAGAGAGAGAGCATGCTTTAGTCTAACTATGATAAAATATAAGATTTCGTTAAAAAATTTTTTAAAAACCTTACATGGGTTACATGGGATAGCTAAATTCTTACTGGGTAGCTAAATTATCTGAAGGTGGCACAGTGGATAGAGCACTGGGCCAGGAGTCAGAAAGACCTGAATTCAAATATAGCCTCAGTGACTTGCTAGCTGTATGACCCTGGGCAAGTCACTTAAGCTGTAGTTTCCTCAGTATCCTCACTTACCTCCTAGGGTTGTTTTGAAAATTAAATGAGATTAAAAAAAAGAAAATTAAATAACATAATATTTGTTAAAAGTACTTAGCACAGACCCTGACACATGGTAGGCATTTTATAAATGCTTATTCCCTTCCCTCTATCTGCAATTTAACCAACCCCTCCAAGGTTTGAAGGCACAAATGCTGCAGGGATTCTAACAGATCAGTCAGGAAGAAAATATGGTTCTGTAGGACCTACAGATTCGCAAAGTACTTTCCTCACTCCACTTCTGTGAAATGGGTGGGCAAGTACTCTGATCCTCATAGTACATTCCCTCATTCTCAGAGAAGGGATGACAGGAAGGAGCAGGAACCTGACCTGATGGGGGCTTCCAGTAACAAGCATACTGCCCTTTCCTCCGTGCCCCACCGTCTGCATTTGGAAGCAGCATCCATAGCTCCCTTCTAATAATTCAAGGTTCTGACAATTCAACATGAGATATTTACAGGGAGTTCTTAGGACTCTCTGTAGCTACATCACCATGTTATTTATGTACAACACCAGTGTTAGCTAAACCCTTCCCACTTGCAGGAAATACCCACTTGCTGAAGATCAGTGAATCAGCTTATTGAGGGCTAATTACTCATGGAACTCTAGTGTGCAGGGTGAAAGTGCAAAAGTCTTCCTTTATCTCTCTCCATAGGTACAATGCCACCCAAGTAGCCCCCATGTTTGGGGGTGGGGTGGGGAAATGCCTGAAGATCAATTTGTTTTGCAGTGAACAAAGGCTTAAGGGGCCCATTCTGAAATTTGTGCTTGGAAAGTGGTGGGCAAAATTTTCTCCACTTAAGAGGTTGATCATTTGTGAATGGCATTCCTTTAAAAAAATGATTTGACTCCTAGGGAAATTTCAACCCCTAGATTTCTAGCTAAAGCAAAACCAGCTGCTGGTTCCCAACGTGTCCAGAGGCAAAGAATGGCAAGTGGAGGGGGTTGGGGTGGAGGAGGAGGGCTGCTACTCAGTCCTTCAGAAGATTATAAATAGGGATGTGGCTGAGGGGAGGAAGGGTCCCTGGAGAGAGCTTAATGAGCAAGGCAGGTTTCCAGTTTAGTCCAGGAGCAATGGAGAAATCTCAGGGTTGTGTCCCAGCCCTGCTGCTAATCTGACACCTGTTCCTGGGTGGGCAATTATAGACAACCTCCCGACAAGGAGCAGTGAGATTCACCAGCAGAGACTTGAGTTTGGGCAGGAAATGTTTGTCACTTGCTAAAAATGAAAACTTTCCCAAATTCCCTGGTTCAGGGGAAACTACAGAGACAATAGATGTCACTTCTGCCAGCATTCAACAATACTGCGCGCAAGAAGTTTCAGCAGCAAAACTGCACAAAGACAGCAATGTGAATGATAGTAACGAAAAAAAAAAAGGTTGAAATCAGCAAATTGTATTCAATGAAGCAACACTTCCCTTTTTTGGTGACTGGCTTCTTGTCACTGATGATTGATAGAGTGAGATGCACTGAAGTCTATGCTACTGCAAGTCTCTAGCAATCCCAGTGTCTGAGTTTGGAGGCCCCAAATGTAATTTAAAATAAGGCAACAGCCTGCAAGTTGAACTATGGACCAGAAGTGACAACTAACAAACTGTATCTGCTAATTCTCCTCAGAAATGGCTTCAGAAAGGGCATTCAGGGAAGCTAGGAAATAGGAGTTTACCTAGGACCAGGAGGAGATTTGGGGGACAGCAATATTGACAGGTCTCCTGCTTGTTATCACTGTTGCCAAATTGACAAGAATTCAAAAATATCACTGCAGACTTCATTTAACCTTCTCCAGAAACTAGCCTTAGCCTAACTGCCAAATTCCAAGAGCCCTGACTCTATCTGAGAAATGCTGTAGATGTAAATGATGGGCTCCCTCTTTAGAAGAGCAATTGCTTTTTACTGACAGATTTTCTCCTTTTTTTTTTTCACTCTAACATCTGTAATCTACTTTATTTAACTGACATTTAGTACAAACTGTTTTTGCTTGTCTCATGGAAATTGGTTTGTAAGGGCTGAGTGCTGTGAAAAGACGCGCCGGGAAACCCAGGTTCTTGTCAATTTTTCTACCACCTCTTTGGCCTGTAACATTTTTTTTTTGGTCTATTCCTGGGTGAAAAAAGTAATGACAACTTACCAGGCAATGGTGAGGACCTGCAAGGGGTTGTTTTGAGAAGAGCTAAGTCAATTCAGTTTTTTTTTTATAACTCAAAGAAGAGCCTAAGAGAAAATACCTAGCCTCTATCCTAGAGAGAGGATCTGTTATTGAGAGGACATAGAAAAGAAAAAAAGTAACAAGATGTATAAAATCTTTCCTCACTATGAACTATAAACTATATTAATAAGGTTAAAGATTAAAGACCAA